GGAGAGACGCGGCTCGGTCTACACGATCCGGAGAGAAGACAAGCAGAAGCGCGTAAATGCTAGTCAACTACAGAGATGGTTTCAAGATCATCATGGGTGTGAATCACGAAAAGCACCAAAGAACACAGCGGTACGGAGATCAGAAAGACTACGACAGCAACTTGTTAAAAGGGAGGACGAGTGTGGTGCGTGCTACTTATATTGATATAAGTAGTATATAACGTGAGTTAAAAGAATGTAATGTCTGGCAGCAGAAGATGGAGAAGATCAAGAAAAGAAGAGCGAGAAAACAATGGAATTTGTAAGAAATCGCATGAGCAATGAAATGCGAGACAATGGATTGATGTTTGCAACAGCAACAGCCCGGTTTGATATGATAGAATGATATTTTGCAAATTAACGATTTACTATATGGTTTTTCTATTTTACCAAGTAATTCTGTAATTTGTCCTAAATACAATTTGGCTGTCCTCACCCGTGTTCTTCTTCACTACATCTGTACACAAGTCACATGTTATATACATTTGATTGATAGCAAACAAACTTTTTGTCGCTCTTTAGTCTTTTATTTGATCAACATCGTTTTTAGCCCGTAAATAGTCATAATTGAGATTGAAAAACATGATAAATGTGAGAAATGATATAAGCTAGGTCAAAATAACAAAAATCCTAAAGTGTCAGTATATTTGATATATGGTTAGCAGTGGAACACATGACGTGTGTTTCGTCCGTTTTGGACACCTTAGTTGACTATACCCGGATTCCGGTATTACTTCCAATATTAAAACTCGAATACGGTACCTCTCGCCTCAACCAGATATGGAGATGTTACTAAGTTTTTAACTTCCTGCTGTTGAAATTCGGGACTGCAATTGATCAATGTTTGTTGCCACATGTACATGCTTAGCAGGTTGCCTCAGTGGTTCATTGGATAACACGTTGGGCGTTGCAGATGAAAGGTATTTGATTTGAGTCTCAATGTGAACTTTAATACTGTGGGTGTACATCTGTGTGAGCAGCCCAAAATATAAAAAATCCGCGATTTAGATATCACTGTTAGCATCACATTAAATTATACTAGAAATTGTGGCACAAAGCTATACCAAGACAATCCGCTCAGGATGGACATACGGCAATAACCAATCGAACATTGAATACCAACTAGGGGAAACTAAAATTCTTTGCCAATTCTAAAGTATTATAACCTTAGCAATAGTGATAATAAATTTAATGAAACCACCTGTCTGCATATGACTAGATGCATGTAACTTGAGCTGTAGGTCAGCAGTTCATAACTATAAATCCTACTTCGATACAACTAAAAGTATAAGATGCTAACACGAAACTAACTTGCATCAATTCTTAGTTTAACAACATCGAATGGAGTAGCTGAGTAATAGTTGATCACTTCACTCAAAAGTTTTGTCAATTCTGACGCATTATGATCTTAACATAAATAAAACCTTATTTAGAATTAATCACACATGCCACTTACATTCCTAATAATTTTTAAACTGCCTATCAAAGGGAGAGTGATACAAAGTTGTTTTTCTTTTCTTAAGTTACAGCTCTGAAATATACCTTTCAAAAGCAGACGTGCATATTACAAGTAATTGACTATACGTGCTTTCAATCAGCTAGTCAAAAAGTCACTACTTGTACATCTGGTGATAAACTAACCGCACGCCAAGACCGCTTACAAAAAGTGTAACTGTTTAGCGAAGTGAAAACTACCCTCAAATGAGACATAACATACGATAATATTCAGTAAATTTATTACAATACACATCAATTAGATTCCCAAAGGTTTTTTAGTTATATGGATTTATGGAAGTATTTCTACACTATATATAGCCTGATAGATGAAATCCATAACACGTTAGTATAACAGGTCTGTAAAAGAAATTTGATATATTCTACTTTCTATTCCATAATAATCCGTGATAAAGTCACAGACGATTGTATAAGACACACCAGGGTTGTTATTAACAATTCATTATACAAAAGGGGAGAAGTAAGTGTTGGTGACGTCAAATCCTCAAATACAAGGAATAAGAAAGGAAATCGGTCTTAGGATTCTCTTATCAATTTAAGGTGATTTTCGTCTAATTAACCTTCAAAGCATTTTCGTTATATTAATTTTTCATGGTGAATTCTGTTTATTAACTTTTACAGTGTTTTCCCCTGTAGCGAATATTGAGTATATAGTTAGTTATTCAATCCAACATGCATTTTTCCTTGTATTGATTAATTTATTGTAATTTTGTGTTTAGTGAGGATTATTCAGTTTGGCAAACCATTGAAATTAATAATCACTTAATAGATATATCATTGAATAACTTGAATGTAAATTAATTAATCTCGAAGACTCGATCAAAATAGCTCCTATACAAGCTGAACTCACTCCAGTTAGAGGGAAAGGAAGAAAAGGATATAATTAGTTTCGTTTACCGTATACATGTCGGAGTTGAATATTATCTAGCCTAACACACGAAAGTATCAAAAAGATACTGGAAAACCATCCACACTAATCTTTGCCAAAACCAGAAAAGCCAAGAACAAAAATAAATTAAAATCGATTGAACGAATCAATATACAGCACAACGAAGAACATGTTCATCACTTCATGACAAGTGAACCTTAACACAATAAATATCTGCAAAACGAAAAGCATGACCACTTCTAATGTATTCCTCGAGTTTTGTCAACTATTTATTTTCTGACTGGAATACTTAATAACTACAAACAAAATAGTATAAACACTGAAGAATTTGAAAACCTGAAACAAAATGAGTGAAGTCGCACGAATCAAATAGAATATACTCTTATTAACATACCAGTCATAGTTAGTATTGATTAGCACAAGAACCGAGAAGCCTGGTGGTCGAAACGTGCTAATGAGCTGGAAGCAGCAGCTGCATCTGGTAATTACCGGAAGCTCTTCCAACTCATTCAAACCACTGGCAGCAAGAAGTCTGGTGTGGGTGAAACAATCTGTGAAGATGATGGGATGCCAATCATTAACATCCATCGACGTCTTGGACGATGGGCAGAATTCTTCGAAGGGCAATTCAACTGGCCTGCCGCTCCAGCAACATCGGTCAGACTGTCCTGCTCTCCATGGCTGGTGACGACTGATCCACCAAATGAGGCGGAAGTCCGCAAGGAACTCCAACTCCTGAAGCGCTACAAATCACCGGGCTCAGATGACTTACCTCCGGCTCTTTTTTAAGATGGTGGTGACTTTCTGGCTAAGGAACTGTGTTGTTTACAAAGCTCTGGGAAATAGAGAGTGTACCGACGTCATGGAATAAGTCGACAGTTGTCCCTATCTTTAAAAAGGGTTCACGTCGTTCCTGTAACAACTATCGGGGGATAAGTCTACTTCCGATTGCGTCCAAACTATTGGCTTCTATCAAACTTCGTAGGTTTTTCAACACCCGAGAAAGATTGACTCGTGATGAGCAGGCTGTCTTTCGTTCTGGTCGAGGATGTACTGACACCCTCCACCAAATGTTAGAACACCGTCATACTTATCAAAGGCCAACAATCGTAGTGTTTCTTGACATCAGGGCTGTCTTCGATTCGTTGGACAGGACTGTTTTCTGTGATTGTCTATCGAAGAAGGGTGTGCATGAGATGTTTATTAACATCCTAAAAAGCCCTATATACAAACACCTCAGGTAGAGTGAGGGCATACAACCACCTCTCTCCATTGTTCCATTCAATCAGTGGGGTTAGACAGGGTTTCCCAATCTTACCATTCCTCTTCAACTTTGCCATCGATGACATTCTGGAAACAGCTCTGATGGATGTAAGTAATGGCGGTGTGGATCTGTTGCCTGGAGAGAGACTTCTCGACTTTGAGTATGCGGATGATATTGTCTTACTGTGAGATAATACACAAGCCATGCGATCCGCACTTAATCAGTTGGCAATCAATGTCCGTAGGTATGGTATGTGCTTTGCACCTTCGAAGTGCAAAGTACTTCTACGAGACTGGCAGGATTCTAATCCTGTACTCACTCTGGATGGTGAGCAGATAGAAGTAGTCGAGAAGTTCGTGTATCTGGGTAGCTGCATAAGTGCTGGTGGTGGCGTGAGTGATGAGATCAATGCATGTATAGTGAAAGCCAAAGCGGCTTATGCCAATCTGGGCCATCTTTGGCGCCTTCGTGATGTTAGTCTGGCTGTATAGGGTAGGATCTACAACGCATCGGTGAGAGCAGTTCTGCTCTGTGCTTGTGAATCCTGGCCTCTCCGAGTTGAAGATGCTAGACGACTTTCTGTGTTTGATCATCGTTGTCTCTGAAAGATTGCTGGCATCCAGTGGCAACGCCATGTTAGTAATGCAGAGGTTCAGCATCGCATGTTCAGGCACAGCGTCGATAATTCAATTAATATCACTATATTGAAACATCAACTTCGGTGGCTTGGACATGTCCTACGAATGTCGTCCCAGAGAATTCTACATCGTGCATTATTTGCCGACGCTGGGACTGGTTGGAAAAAGCGGAGAGGTGGTCAGTGTATAACATGATGTCGTGGTATGAAAGATGTACAGGACTGGCTTCTGTTGGACCTTCACGAATCCTTGTTTGGGGTACTAGAGACGGTGCAACATAGTGGCTAGAGGCGTTATCAGACACAGTTCAGAATAGAAGCTTGTGACGATCCTACTGTAACTTTGTTTTGTTTTCTTCATAGAAGTGAACTTAACTTCTTTAACTGAAAGAATTCTTTCTGGTTGTATTTTTCCTAACTGGATTGCCTCTACCACTTTTATTATTATTATTATTATTATTATTATTATTATTATTATTATTATTATTATTATTACACGCTCATACACTAATCTCTGTCCGTTGTTCTTTTTATTATACGCACTTTACATTCTCTATCTCTTAACGACCTGATTATTATTATGTGGCGCATATGTATCTGGTGCTCCCTTATACCAATGTTTATGTGTTCAAACAAATAAATAAATATTAACATACCGTTTGGAAATTATGGATAACGCATTAGTTTGCATTGATTTTGGATTCATTTTACACAGTCCTTTTATGTCTTCCAAACTGATATTACCAGATTCATGAGATAGTTTAATTTTAAAATTAGTCTTAGGTTGCATTTCAGTGATTCGATTAGACGAATCAGTAGCTAAATAAGAATATTAAAAGAGAAATAATAAACTTGTGAAATAGGGCTAACTCTTTTATATGAAATAACGTTAGGTCAAGTAATTTAGGAATATTGGTTTGAGAAAATTGAAAATAATGTCGTGGTTAATAAATCCCCAAAATAAAGTTTGTAAGCATTCAACACTAATGCTGATCTTATTAATTTTAATTAACGCACCTAATCCCATTTGAATATGCCGTGTTGTACATCTCTTATGGCAGTTAGTCAGATTGGATCAAATACACATCGACAGCGACTCAAGTATACCTTCGTTCTCTACTTCTGATTAAATTGCCTTTGTATTCTATGTTTGAGTAGAGGTTTCGGACGGTAGCGTTGAATAACATTGCGCGTACGTGACACCTTCAGTGGTTTTCATTGCCAGTTAATGTTGATTACGACTGAATGAATGACCATGAGACACAGCTTTCAGGTTTTGGGATGAGTATGATACCTATGGGTATATTTCGCTAACATCACAAGTGACGCAGGTTGGCAAAAGATAATCGAGTCTTCTGAATCCGTGGCGAGATTTCGTCAGACAACAGACCATCAGCACTGACGAGACTCCCACGATAAGTGAAACGGTCGATACGTTCAACTACTTCCCTCCCTATCATCAATTTAGGCGCTAACGCGGGTCAATCCTGAAGCAATACTTGGCATTTGGTGGGATAGAGTAGCATCCTGAACACACTGGTATTCTTGCCTAAAATGGTCAGACAACTATTTCTTTGATGTCTTGATCAAATAGAACTATATCTTCTGCATATTTTAAGTCAACAAGTGAATCTCCTGGTAGATCAACCCCAAAATTCTTATTTATTTATTTATTTGAATACATAAATATTGGTACAAGAGAGCGCCAATATATATGCGCAAATGATGAACTCTCTATATCTATGGAAACTACCCCAAAATTCAGACGATAAATGTTTTCTCTAAAAGCATGTATATGATACAATTAGGTAAAAATGGGGAATGTGAACAGCACTGACGAACACCATTTGAAGCAACCAATTCTGACAATAGTTCGCCATAAGCTCTGACTAGACCAGTAGTGTTCGAGTAGAGAGCCTGTACAAAGTTGATGTACTTCTTCGGTACGCCTTTCAATGATAGACTGCCACACAACCTCCCAATCAAGTGTCGAACCTTATATTAACGTCGAGGAATACAAAATCTGTCAGATGTCGAAAAGTATGTTTATAATCCGGAATCTACTGAAGCGTGAATATTTGGTCCATACATTAAAGTCCACGTCTGAAACCAGCCTGATTTTCTTGGGTTTGCTATTTATGAGCTCTATTTAGGCATCGAAGTATTATTGAAGCCAATATTTTAGACACTATTAGCTAAACTGATTCCTCTGTGATTGTCATAAGCAGATTTTCATCCTTTCACAGATCGAGACCAGTCAGATGAGATTATGTTCAGATTTCAGATTCTAGCTAAGATTTCAGTTAATCTGACTGCTAAAACTGGACCATCATCCTCTCAGGGGTTAGTCCATAAGGCTCTGATGCCCTCCGTCACTTTAAATCTCCTGTAGCCTTTGCAACCCTACTAAGAGTTGGAAGACATATATCAATTTGTTATTCCTATTGCTCGGAGATAGTGGGTAACTGAAGTATGGCTGAAGGCCAGTTGAACCATTCCCTAAAGTGTTCTGCTCATAGGTCCAATCTCCATGGTTAAGAGTGAATAATAATTCCATGTTTTTCCGAGATACTTTCACTAACAGACCGATTTTTAATATCGTTTCCTTGATAGATCTGAACAGTTGTCAACTGTTACCTATCGCTACTACCTTTTTCATCTCTTCTGCTTTCGCTACCCACAATATTCCGCGAGCTTTTCATCGACTTACATTCAAGCTTGTTCTGCTTATGAAAGTAATACTATATCTGCAATGAACGAGAACACGGGTGAGGACAACCCATTTATTATTACATACGGAATTACAGGATGTCTTCGTAAAATATGAGAACCATACATTAAATGCTTTATTTGCAAATCTTCCATTAATTGTCTTTTACATTCTGTCTGATTTTTCCAATTCACAATTTCTTTCTATCTCCCTTTCTATTTTCTTCAGTTCGATCTCCTTAGCCTTCTGCTGTCAGCTATTCAACTTTTGACTGGTGTTGCATACTAATGTCGACAGACATAAGTAGCATGTACCATATATCTACACTAGCGAGGTTACAAGAAATGAGAATGGGGACTCCAGGTACGTGAACTAGGTAATATCATAAACATAAATACACATTAAGATTAATGTCAACCTTCAGTTCCTCATTCAAATACCTAAAATCCGATTATATTGTACAGATAACTTTACGAGAAATTAATTAAAACAAATTGAACATATATTGAAATAAAAAAGCAGTACATAAATCTTTCTCATATAACTAGTAATACTATGTGATATTGACTAGTGTTCTGGTGATGGATTGGGTACGGAGTGATGCCACCTAGAAACCAAGATAAATTCATTAAACATTGATTATTGGTTTCATTCACGTGTAAATTTAGAACACGTTTTAATACCAATATAAATGTTCTTTCGACAAGACAGTATAGAGCTGAATCAATATACCAGATGAAATCGGTTATCACTTATACAATACTGACAGTCAAATTAGTATTTACGAGCTTCACAACAAAATAACAGTTTGAAAAATAGGATATTAAAAGAACATGTCCCACTCACTGACTGACAGTTTGTTCGAAGATGATTTATCGGTGAAGTTTTCTTGTCTGGAATAAAAAATTATTACTTTTTGAAAAATATGTGACACCGACTAGTGAAACTAATAAGAAATATCAGCTAGTTACGATTAACAACACATGGAATATTTACACTTCATTCTAAAGATATATTCAACCTGGGAGAAAAAATTACGTTAAACAGAAGTTGGTTGCCCATAAATGAGTTATTATCGCTATTAGTAAACAGTCGGTATTGAGTTGGGACGTTTTTATGGAGACTTAACGATTTAGTCAAATACTAAAAGATAGCTTCTTAGGATAACAGTTAGTTCTGGCACTCACATGCTTCAGTAGTATCATGGTGTTCATGTTAATAAAATGATGTGCTTAAGTACAAAAAATGTACATGAAGATAAGTGTAATTACAAGTCAACTGAAGCGTAAGAGATTAGGAGATACAGATTTTATACGTCACTCAAATTTCAATCAAAATAATACCTGACTCTCAAGCCTAAATCTTGTCCAACATATCATACTACGAATAAGTTCATCATCTGTTGTCTCTTATGTGGAAACCCAGTGAGTCTGTGAAACTAGTACTTAATTTCAATACATCCAGACAAGAGCCGCACTGGTTAACTGGATTATTACAAACTTTTATTTGTCTTACCAATCAATTAAGTGACCGCGATCATGCCTATTTCATAAACATAGTGACACTAGTTGGAAACCTGAAAGTACAAGTTACCTAGTAATATAGGAGGATAGTTGGGGAGAGTTTGTCATAAATTAGAGAACAGGAACCGCTTTATCTGATTTTAACGCCCCATGATCTCTAAACATTAAAAGCACCAAAGGTTTGGAAACAGGTCAACTCATCTTCTAGCATACATAATTCACGACTTACGATATATTTTAGGGAAGTAATAACAGTAATAACAATGGAACTGCAAGTGTGACTTGGCAGTTTTAATACTCAACTTCTGACTACATAAACACAGATCCATCCTCCGCTCAGTGTATTCTTATCTGGGGAACTAGACAGAATATTAATCGCTTATGTAATAAGAGTAGCTAAAAGTTAAGTACGTCAACTTATTATTGATTAATATTTTGCAAAGATTATTAGTTGCACCTACAAGTAATATAGTTCAGTGTTCAAGTACATATATGTGTATTGGTTATTGAGTCACAAGGATTATTTGGGGATTATATATACATTACACCTGTTAAAAAAAGAAGCAAAAATGTACCGAAGACCGAGTGGTTGTGAACTGAGGGCCTATAATAATGAGCCACAATTCGACGTACTGACTGAACACATATGATAACCATAAATTACAATTAATTGAATTAGATTAATGATCACATACACATACATGTGATTACATTCAGTGACAATTAGGTGAATAGTTAGTACATTAACTAACAACGAATATACTATTCAGGGTGAGATTAAGGTGAAAACATAACCACATAGTTGGGAGCAGTTTAAAACATAGTTGAAAAATATGACAAAAATTAATCTGTATCGAAGAATTAAAAGATTTTATAAATAAAGTGGCTAACATTTAACATACTTTTCACTACCCAGTTGCACATCTGTAACATATAAAGAGGAAACATTTGAAATAGAAACCTTAGAAAATGTTTGAGATCTATTGTTTTGTAGATGCGTGTCCACGAAAGTATTGCATAAAGCATAATTCTGGGCACATGTCACCGAACTTAAGATGTTTTCAGGTACTCCCGAAAACTTTGTTGGTACTGATTCTTCAGATATTTCATGAAATGTATCATTAACTTGCTGCTCGTAAGAAGAGTTAACTGGAGAAGTTTTTGTGCCATTTTGTCCTAAAAACAAATAAATAAAAATTTACATACCCTTACTTACCTGTCAACATATGCAACTATTAACTATGAATTAATTAAAAGCATTTTTCATGTAAAAGACAAATACTCGCTATCCAGTTAAAAAACCAGTTACAAATCAATTTAACAAGCAAATTATAAAACATCCGTCCACAAATATTTTGTTTATTATAAAACGTAAAAAACATCCCTCATTAGTTTATCCGTGACCCTGCGGAGCGTATCGCGTTTAGAGTATACAGTGTAGCCCTTTGGAAGAGTTAGGTACTTATTCAAACCAGGACGTCGGTATATACTCTGTTGGTTAGGTAATAGGTTACAGCAAAAGTTAGCTGGTTGCAAAATAAATATTTTCCAGTTATTTATCAGTCGCTGAGATCAAAGTTATGCATTTGAGGATCTTACCAATGGTGCCTGAGGAAACTAACACACCCCGTTCGAGAACCTTCAATTCTCGCACACAGAAAGACATGAACGAAATGATACTTTTAAGTCATACCACTAGCATCCATATAGTTCTATGTCTTGATACATGGTTTACGGAAAAACCAGGCAACCGTTTGGAAACTCGGTGTTGTGGCTAATCACATAGAGTGGAATCGTAACTCGGTTGATATATCTCTAAAAGAAGCTTCAAGAGTAACGTAAATACTTACCAGCACTGAAAATGTACGGGACAGAAGAGTGATAGCCAATTCCATTAGGTTTATGTTCATGTCTCCCATCAAGAGAAATATTAGATAGAAAGTTGAGAGCGGCTAATTTATGACGGCTCTTTTTGCTCCTCATACAAAAGAATGTATAAGTTGTTTATTTAACTTAAAAGTCCCAAAAGTAAAAGAATCATTATGTCCCCACAAAACACGGAGTAGAATAATTGATGAGATGGAAGTCCCACAGTCGCCAACCATTGAGAAATAAACCGATTTACTGTATTGTTATTTCGAGACCAAATACTTCTGAAGTGAAAACACCACTATGTGCCAGGCGACGGCTCAAGATGAACAAACCAGAAACTTCTGGGAAATAATAACAGCATGAATATCAATAGTGATAAAAATCGAATAATCATTTAAAATATTAAGCCCGTGAAAAAAAATAAAGAAGCAAATACTATCCGGATAGTATGAAAAATAAATAACTTCAACAGTATTGCTACAAGGTGAATCAGCGCAAGTTGAACCACGAGCTACAATGAAACTTAAATTTGACTAAAAAATTAATTGTATCAAAACGTCCGTGCCCCCAAATGCCCTGGTATGGCCGAGAGTGGGGAGAGTCCGCTCTCCCTCTCGAAATGCTCTCATATGGCTACACGTATATAGCTTCTGCCAGGGAAGTTCTACTCACTGCCTTCTCGCACCATGGGTGTTGTTTACGAAATTGAGAGGACGAAAAGCGAATGTCTGGCGCTTTAACCGGGTTGGTGGACATGGAGAGTCCATCTAGGGGAATTGGAAAACCCTCATTTCAAACCAATGGTGCACATGGGCTACAGTACCCTGAGGGAGCAAATGGCGTTTGAACCAATCGTTGGTCACCTGCTACCATGGGACTGCATCTCCTCACGATGCTCCACTACCTTGTGTATCAAACCTTCAGGTCGAAGGCTCCAGGCGTGGCCCCCTAAGAAAACCACCTGTTTCGGTTTGGGCACCCGGGCAGTATCACAGCCCTCACACAAATATAATGAAAACGATGGTATTTACTGAAAACTCTATTCTCGCTTCGATCAACAATCAAACGATTCACATTATTATTTTTTACGCCATTTATTCACTCTCTTTTATTCCCACTTTATCTGTCCTTATTTTTCGACTTACACAGCAGGTCACCTACGGTGGAAACTCGGGCCCAGATGACTTACCTCCGGCTCTTTTTTAAGATGGTGGTGACTTTCTGGCTAAGGAACTGTGTTGTTTACAAAGCTCTGGGAAATAGAGAGTGTACCGACGTCATGGAATAAGTCGACAGTTGTCCCTATCTTTAAAAAGGGTTCACGTCGTTCCTGTAACAACTATCGGGGGATAAGTCTACTTCCGATTGCGTCCAAACTATTGGCTTCTATCAAACTTCGTAGGTTTTTCAACACCCGAGAAAGATTGACTCGTGATGAGCAGGCTGTCTTTCGTTCTGGTCGAGGATGTACTGACACCCTCCACCAAATGTTAGAACACCGTCATACTTATCAAAGGCCAACAATCGTAGTGTTTCTTGACATCAGGGCTGTCTTCGATTCGTTGGACAGGACTGTTTTCTGGGATTGTCTATCGAAGAAGGGTGTGCATGAGATGTTTATTAACATCCTAAAAAGCCCTATATACAAACACCTCAGGTAGAGTGAGGGCATACAACCACCTCTCTCCATTGTTCCATTCAATCAGTGGGGTTAGACAGGGTTTCCCAATCTTACCATTCCTCTTCAACTTTGCCATCGATGACATTCTGGAAACAGCTCTGATGGATGTAAGTAATGGCGATGTGGATCTGTCGCCTGGAGAGAGACTTCTCGACCTTGAGTACGCGGATTGGGCACCCGGGCAGTATCACAGCCCCCCGATCGCTTGTTAGCACCCTAACCCTAACCTAACCTTAACCCTAAACCCTAACCCTAGGATACAACCCTAACCCTATGGACGAGTTTCTATACCATATGCATTATGAATTCCGAACCTCTGAACCTTTATCAAACCTTAACAAGTTTTTAAATCGTGTAAAAGAAGAATATCCACTGTAATTCATTGCTTACTTATAATATACTTTCACTTTATACTGTCTTCTGATTGGCTGATAATTGTCAAGGTCATTTAAGACTCGTTCGAAGGTCGTCCTTAAACTAGACTCTCGCCGCAAAAACTTATCGACATCAGTCGTCTCATTGTACCTGATCACGAGAACTTTATTCAGGTTAAATAGTAACAGTTACGACTTTATGGGCTGAGTAGTTTTGTTTTAATTAAGATTAACCATTTTTTAGAACCCCGATCGAAGCTTCTACCTTGACGCGGAGGTCGAGCTTGCCTATCGTGATGACCCAACCGAGCTATATTGGCTGGAACATATGTTCCTGTAGGTTCTACCATGCCAGGCAGATCGATTGGTGAACGGTAAGACTAAAAGCAGCAACTCAAGGTCTGAGGGCGAAGTCGTACTGCTGACTGTAGAGAGGTGTGACAGCAGTAAGGTGTTTCCCTCAGACAACCAGCATGACAGCGATGCTGCCTTCCCACAAGGAGGGGTGTGGTTAGAAAAGGTCGACCCTAAAAATGTCACACCTCACCTTACCTCACAGATTTCCGTCTCCGGCGGTAAGGCCCTTTGAAGAACGGAGCTAACACGTCAAAAACCTTCCACAAAATGGCCGTGCGCGACCGGCCTCAAGCAGTTGTCCCTTGGGCTCTGCGGTCACGCTCCCAGGTCTTTAGGACCAACACTAATCCAATTTCCTTTTCAGGTTCCTCAAGAAATACCCTTCCACGGTGTGGGCAGCCGGGAAGTGACATCAGCCCTCATACCCGTAACAGCACACGAGACCAAGTTGGTCACATTCAAATCCTTCCTACACCTCCTAATACCTCTCTTATCTCCATGACTAACCCTCCTCACGTCTCTTTATCACCTCGCACCGCTAGGACAAACGATTCGAGTACGTGGAACGCTATTCCTGGTCTCCTGAAACCACGCTCTAAACTACACGCAGGAGCTTTTAACGTACGAACACTTTGCCAAATAGGACAGCAGGCTTCCTTAGCCAGGACTTTAGAATCTCGCGCCATCGATGTGTGCTGCGTCTCCGAAACGCGCATACAGGATCCGAGTAGCGTCATTTATTTGACCTCACCATGCCAAAATAAAGAACCGACTCGATTTACGCTTCGTGTATCTGGAAGTCCTGATTCTGCTTCCCGTGGCCTCGCCGGCGTAGGTATAGCATTGAGTCCTAGGGCAGAACTAGCTCTCTTAGAGTGGATCCCAGTAGACTGTCGTTTGTGCGCTGTCCGACTAAACGGAACAGTAAGGATCCGAAAAGATAGGGACACTCGTCGTTGCCTTTTCGTCGTTTCTGCCTATTCTCCCACTGACTGCAGCTCGGATGATGTAAAAGATGAGTTTTACAGAAAGCTCTCCGACCTCTGAAAAGTTAGGCGCTCGGATGTAGTAATGGTGGCCAGTGACTTTAATGCCCAAGTAGGGAAACTAAGCGATAGAGAAAGACACCTAGGTGGATCTTATAGCATCGTGACTCAAAGAACAGATAATGGCGACCGTCTGTTGCAGCTATGCTCAGATAACCGCCTGTTCCTTGCAAATACTAACTTTAAGCATAAGGAAAAACATCTTTTAACATGGCGACCCCCTAATTCGTCCCAACGTTGGACCCAAATAAATCACATCGATATCAGCCACCGATGGAGGTGCTCGATAGAAGACTGTCGCTCATTCTGGAGCACATGCTTAGATTCAGATCATGCTCTAGTGTGAGCGCGTATTTGCTTGCGTCTTACTGGACGTAGGAAAGACGCTGCAAGGAAACCTCTTAGGGGCCTACTTAATGATAGTCAAGCTAAGAGTATATTTCAGGAACAACTAGGAAAACAGTTAGGCAACCGTGTATGTAATGCCCACCCAGAGGCAGCATGGAATGATATCCAAAAAGCTGTGGAAACAGCAGTGATATCTGCTAGTACGGTAACCCGTAGGGTTGGGGAGGAACACTGGATCTCAGCAGCATCTATCGCACTGATAGATGCTCGGAAACTCATTCCACCTGGCTCTGAACATAATGAAGAGCTGAGTCAGCTTAAGCACAAGCTGATAAGAAGTCTACGCAATGATCGCGAACAGTGGTGGGTAGCGAAAGCAAGAGAGATGGAAAAGGCAGCGGCAATAGGTAATAGCAGACAATTGTTCAGACTTGTTAAGGAAACCGGTATTAGGAAACCGACTGTTAGCGAAACAATCTCAGAAAAAGATGGACATATTATACATTCTCAATCCAGGAGATTGGATCGATGGGCAGAACACTTTAGGGATCAGTTCAACTGGCCTTCAGCCACACTTTGGTTTCCCACGATCTCTAGTCAACCTGAATGGCAAGTTAATGTAGGTCCTCCGTCCCTTTACGAAGTTGAAAAAGCCATAGGAAATCTGAAACGAGGGAGAGCAGCAGGCCCTGACAGGTTTACACCTGAGGTTTTTAAGGATGGTGGTTCAGTATTAGCAATGAGATTAACCGAGGTCTTAGGTAGAATTTGGGAACTGGACGTAATCCCATCTGACTGGTCTCAATCACTGATTGTGTCAGTCTATAAGAAAGGACAGAAGTCCTCTTGTGACAATCACAGAGGAATCAGTTTGACTAATATAGTGTCTAAAATATTAGCTTCAATAATACTTCGACGCCTAATCAAAGCTCGTGAAGAGCAGATTAGAGAAAACCAGGCCGGTTTTCGACCTGGACGTGGTTGTATAGACCAGATATTCACACTACGTCAGGTTCTAGAACACAGACACAATCAGACGCCCCACAATGGTAGTATTTCTCGACCTTAAGGCGGCATTCGACTCTGTTGATCGTGAGGTTCTATGGCAGTGTTTGTCACTGAAAGGAGTACCAAAGTATGTTGACCTTGTAAAGGCTCTCTACTCGAACACAACTGGTCGAGTGAGAGCTTATGGCGAACTGTCATCAAAATTGATTACCTCAAGTGGTGTTCGTCAGGACTGTCCACTCTCTCCATTCTTGTTTAACTTTGTCATTGACGTACTTTTAGGGATAACACTTTCCT